TGTCGCCATCACACGTTTTCTTCTATCAGACCACTGCTTAGCAATCGAGCAACTTCGTCGCCACGTCTCAGGCCGTCCCCACATTGAGCGACATCGTCGACTGTGCCGCTTCTGTGAATCTTCCGTGGAGGACGAACCGCATGCTCTCTTTGCCTGTAGAGGCCACCCCAACCTGAGGCCTCTGCGACGGCAATTTATACACACCGTCCTACAGTTACGCCCCGACCTCCTGATCGCATATCAATCTCCCCCTGCCTCCCAGTTCATTATTCACCTCGTTAGTGACCGTGGGTTATGCCCTCTCTTCGCTGAATACATATTCGACATCTTCGCACTTTTTGATAGCGCTCCCCTTCTCATACCGTCTGTGGCTGCATGACTGTGACGCTCGTGCTATTTCTTCTCGTTTACAACACATCTGCATCTGTTTTGCAAATGCGCGTAGCTACATTAACCCGTGCGATCCCGTATATCATAGCGGCAATGATTAGCTAACGCCCGTAGCGTACACTTGATGCACGTACGTAGCACGGACCCCCACATGTTCCACTTCGGGACCGCCCGTGGGTAATATCACTATCACTATCACTATATGGCTTGGCAGACTGTGTCCTACTGCGTCACGGTCACATATGGCATCCCAAGTGCGCCAGGACATTCACGTGAACCCAAGTGGTTCCTTTGACGAACCACGATCGCCTTCGTCGACCCCTAAACATGCTGCCCTCCCATGAGAACATACTCGAAGATCTCCCGCCGGGCGCCTCTGTATCAACGGACTGGCGCGGTACGACAATCACGATGCCTCGGATGTACGATCCGTCGAAGGGATCATGCCTTGTGGACAGATCCATCTCGAACATTGTTCAGCGCTCTGCTCCATTCTCTCGACTCTACTTCTCAGCCTTTCGGGATCCCGGTGCTAAGATACTGGACAAGCGCTCGATTATCGTCTTCATAGACGGGGCCTGCTTAGACAATGGGAGCCCGGCCGCTCGCGCAAGTGTCGGCGCGTTTTTCGGCCCCGCCTCCCCTCACAACATTTCGGAGCTCCTCCCGCACAGCGAGCCTCAGACATCACAGCGCGCGGAGATACACGCCGCATTGCGGGCGCTGCAGGTAGCGCAGGACGCGGTCGGAGATGACTTCAGCGTCAGCCGTATTGTGCTAGCCAGCGACTCGGCCTATGTGGTGAAGAGCATGACGCAGTGGGTGTTTACGTGGAGGAAGAACGGATGGAAGAACTCGGACGGGGGGGCTCTTGTCAATGGAGACACGCTGAAGGAGCTGGATTCGATGATTGAGGACATGGCGGAGGACGGCCTCGAGGTGGAGTTTTGGGCTATTCCAAGGGAAGAGAACGTTGAGGCAGATCGTCTGGCCAGCTCTGCTTGTCGTCGTTAAATGCATTGTGTGTCCTAATAAATAAGGATGCGTTCAGATTGCCAACCTTCGAGCTTGATGCAAGCATGATCGCGGAATTTGAAATCCACCTGCCCTAGACGAGTCACGGGTCTCAGTCAGACGATCACCGTTCCTCCATTTGATTCTGTACCCCAGAGTCCAGACCAACCTCAACTTCGGCGCCTAAGCTAGCCAATCTACTAAATATCAAGCTTTTTATATCCCATCCATTCGACCTTCTCAATCTGAATCAATGGCAAGTGATAAGCCCAAGGACATGTACCCTCTGAAAAAAGGTAGAGATTCGTACCCTGACATGATGCATTTGTAGTAAAGACTTGTTTGGTTGAAGGATTTCGTCGACATCACCCTCTATGGTATCGCAGCGACGATAAGTGTACGTAATACCCGAACTGGAGTGTTGATTACTATTAACCACCAGTCTGATGCAGTCTCAACCGATGAAAGGAATGAACTGCTCGAATACCTCAACACGATGTTTGAGCAGTTGAAGTCAGAAGATCACATTCGGTGGGAAGAGCTGGGAGTCTGCCAAGACGTGCCGATTCCGCACACAAAGATCCTGCGCAAAAGTGACGACTTGCAGGGCAAAGAGAGACATGAGTACGTTAGGAACAGGGTCTTCGACATTGTCAGTGCGTGCTTCTGCTTTCCTTCCTGAAAATCCGATGGATCTCCCTGCAGCCTGGCGTATCGCCCGTCTTCTCCGGTATACACACCCTATACGGCTAGGGGAAGCGGTGGACGCGCTTGAATATGGCTGGAAGGTACACCAGTGGATGAATCCAGGGCAACCGCCACATTATGACGTGTATGTGCTCTAGTTTAATGTTTACTTTCTCTACTAAGCTTAATTCGTTTGAAGAATTTACAGCATCTTCCTGGCCACCGCTCGCGAGCGTCGTGGCGGCGATTCATCCTACCATGAGAAGACTCTGGAGATTCTGCCGCTCAGGATACTTGCCGACCCCAGGGTAGGCCGTAGGAACTTCATTCTGGGCTGCTGTACGCTTGCTCGGCTCTATCGCCACCTTGGACGTGACGCGGAGGACCAAATGATGTTTGTATCATGTTTCCTGATAATAAGGGAAAGTCATAAACTGTTTATGTATCTGCAGGGTACGGAAGATCGCTGAATGGATCGACGCTCCCCTCCGACAATACGCACTCACACCTTATGAATTCTGGCAAAACATGGACCAGGATACGATGTCTCGCGTGATAGCCTATCTCGGGAGGGACCCATTCGATGGCATCATTAACGAAGACCCCCATACTGCGGTCGACACAAATATTGATACCACATATAGTACTGCCTTAAATTTCATAGTATGTCACCGATTCCTGACACCTTGTAAATGAGACTGATGCAGTGTAATAGAATCCTTACTACCAGGGGGAGCAATTACCCAACATCCCTCTTGAGACGGATAAGAGATCATTGAAGCGCGAATGTTGGATCAGTGGTTGTCGCGTGAAGGAGGAGTTGAGACAGTGCGCAGCTTGTGGGGTAAGCCTATATTGTTCGAGGTGAGTTTTCAATGGTACTGGTTTCAGAATTCGGTCAAACTTTTGATTAGAGAGCATCAAAGGGAGGCATGGCCGCGCCACAAACCGCTGTGCGATCGATACAGGAACGAAAAGGCTCTGTATAAAGGTCTTGATTAGTTTGGGAGGTCAGTCTCAACGATCTTCTTGAGTTGTGTATTACCCCGGATTTTTTGACGTGAAAAAGCGCACATCAGACTGCTATTGACAATCGTATTTATCTCGACGTCTATCTGTGATCATCTGATGTCTTGCGCCCTGCTTCACCTCTTTTCAGTAGAGGTTCGGAATAACATTGCGTCCATTTCGGTTGCTTTGGTACCTCGTGTCTATGCGTCATCTGTTAGCAGCAGCTCCAGACTTTGGCGTACCACCTCTCCGGGACCTACAGTCCGACTCAGGTGCACGGTGTGATGTTAACGTCAGGCGGGTATCCGATGGACTTCCGAGATGCGAAAGTTCGCGTAGCCTCGCATATTTTTCGGCTTTCCTTGCACTAGACCTACAGTGTAGGGTATATAAAATCGGTCATGACAAAATTCATCAGCTCCGGTCGTCACCATGCGTTCCACGTTCACAGCACTCACAGCACTTTGCTCTCTCCTTCCTTCAGTCCTTGGCCACGGCCAAGTACGGAACTTCATCGCCTCGTCTGGGACCTACCCCGCTGCTGACGCCTACGCATCCGCACTCCCGAACTCACCAATCCGCAAGCTGAACACATACGGACCAGCTGCCGATTTCACTTCAGCGACCATTACATGCGGGGTGCGAATACTGATTCCGCTTTTCTTCGTGCGAGCCCGTCTCACAATGTTTGCTATGGTACGCAGGAGGGAGGCAACACTCCTGTGACGGCCTTGGCCACGGTAAATGCTGGAGAAACAGTTACTTTTGACTGGGGAAGTTGGGGTTCGAGCCATTCTGGGTGCGTTGCCACCATTATGTGTACCACTCGAACAAAGGCGCTAAAATTCAATACAGACCTGTAAGCTCTAGAGGAGTTTGGTTGTCGATGCATGATTGACTGCCTATTTCCAGCTCATGACTTACATGGCCAAATGCCCCAATGGCTGCGCTAGCTTCAAAGGAGATAGCGGTAGCGTCTGGGTCAGTGAGTATTAATTTACGAACTTTACCTCCAATCGTGTACTGATGTGTATGCGCGTCATCCGTTCAGAAATCGATCAAGATGCATGTTAGTCACTCGACCAAATCGACGATCCACCCACTTACTTTTCTTTTCGCATTAGACCATCCTGCGCGCACATCCATCCCCTGGGGTGAGAATATCCTTCACAATGGTGGTAAATATTCCGTCGTCGTTCCCGCTGGTCTGGCAAATGGTGAATACATCATCCGTCACGAGGTCAGTCCCGTTCTTGTCTCCAAACCGCCGAGATACCAAACTGAATTTTGGATTTGCCAGATTCTCGGCCTTCATGTCGCGGGCACTGCGATGGGCGCGCAGTTCTACCCGAACTGTGTACAGGTGAAGGTGCAGAACGGAGGTAGCAAGACCTTGCCGGCGGGCATCGCCCTTCCCGGTGCATACAAGCCCACGGACCCCGGCATCCTGACGCAGCTGTGGTGGTTCTCTCCCCAGAACAAGACCGCTTCTTACACCGCGCCTGGAGGAGCAGTCACTTTCCCGTAGGTCTTTTTTCTTGCTATCTGTTTCGATCGGTATTCCTGATCGTTTCTGCAGGGGTGGAACGGGTGATTGGGGCGCAGCTCAATACGGTGCTTGAGTTGAGGGATCTGGATGATGTGGGTTTTGGTACCATCGACGGGTTGATGTAATTAGCTATGTCTTGAGTTGTGGCAATCCGTGAAAGGAGACCGTCTAGACTCTACACTGCAAACGATGTGCCATCAGTGCAATACCTTCAAATGAAGGAGATCACTCCCATCCTTTACTCTGGTTAACACATCCATCATCCATCTGATACCAAATCATCAGCAAACTGTAGTGGTCTTTCCAAAGTCTTGCTCTATGAGCCAAAAATAGCACTAGAAAACCGGATTGCATTAAGAGGGAATCGAACCCCCGGCGGGTCGAGATTGATCACTCTCGAATGGCAACGACCCAGGTTACCACTACCCCATTAATGCATATGTAGGGAAGCGCAACCCGTAAACACAACGTGCAAGCATCCAGCTTGGATGATCATCGGAGTCTTTCGTCCTACATCAGAGCTAATCAGGTTCGCATAGGACCATAGGTGCATAGATATTGGCAGTGGCTAAGGCATGTGGTTCGTCGTGCAGGTGGTCGATGTTGACGGAGTCAATGCGTCAACCCAGGTAAATATCACTATCACTAGTGCGTAATGCTGCATGCATATTCGAGCCATGGCCCATCACCGTAATCATCATGCAAGGAGCATCGAACACTGAACAGTGCGATGCATGGCTTTCTCTGCCAGTTTTCTCTTCATCTCATAGCTTTTTCAAGCGCCAATTCTGGACTAGGCTAAGGTACCCTATTCTGATGGGTCATGGGGTCGGAATCTCATTGATCTTTCGTCCGAAAACGCCACAGTTCTGATATTGCATATTCGTGAGAAAGGTATTCCCGTACCCCACTGCTTCTCTCATTAACCGCCAAAGCCCTTGACTATCGAAATGGGCGTCTTCCCACTTCATGACACCTGAGCCGGACCATCCTATAAGACCTTGAGGTTTCCAAGCTCATTCCGCCCCGCTGCTTCACCGAGTCTCCTCACGATGGTGAACAACGTCGACAAGTTTGCCGCGCTTTATCGTGGAAGTCTTATTCCCCTTCATGCTTGTCGTGAGTCCCCATTTTTGGCTACTGATTCCAGTGCTGATCACTATGCCATTGAAGTTGTCGGTTTGACTTGGATACTTCACGATTACCGTAAGCTCTGCTACGCTTATATCTTCGCAAACCCCTGACGACTCGGACCATGACTTGAAGTTATCACGCTTGAGGATGAGGTGCGTACACCCTGTTCCGCGCTTTCTATGGGACTCATGTGAATCGTCTGAAGATACGCTACATCTGGGTTCGTCAACCTCCTAGAACTCGCTTTTAGTCGAGTCCAACTTACCTGTCTTGCAGCCCCAGAAGCGGAGTTTCGGCAAATTTATGTTCCTATGGGTAATTTTTCTTATTCGATTCTCGGGATCTTCGCTAATTTGTTATTTGCCCTTCTAGATTCGATATTACAGGTGATTGCCTATCTCTCTCCATTTATTGAGTCGTCCCTTATCTGTTGCTGGACCGTCGATGTAGCCTCGCGCTTCTCATATTCGATGTTACCCAGATCCACCTGTTTTCCAGACCAGGCATTACGTCCGACACAGTGTACGTGCCATAAGTGTTTCCCTCAGTATAGTTTGGTCATGGTTCCCACAGATGTGTTGCAATGGACTCAATTATCCGCATTGTCGGAGCGATCAGCCTTTGGTCAATAGAGATTATCATGCAACTGCGCGTGTACGCCCTGTATGGCTGCTCTAGGAGGGTACGTCTCCAATTTTTTGTAAGATTCTATGCCGTCTCATGGGATTGTACAGGTAGCCTTTTTCAACGGTATTTTATTCCTCGGATCCGTCGGCGCATTTTTCTGGGTCCTCATTCACAACGCGCAAAGGCGTCGAGCCGTGATAGCGGACGCCATCCATCTTCCCTTACCGGGGTGTCCATCTATTCATTCAGGGGTTGAGTGGCTGCAGTGGGTCCCCGCAACGGTCTTTGAAGGAATCTTGTTCGGGTTTGCATTGTCCAAAACAATAAAAACCGCCGCATCGCGAGTCATTAGGGGGAAAAAGATTTCGCTCTATTCTGTACTTCTCCGAGATAACCTCTTCTATTTCTTTGCGTCAGTAAACCCTGTCTCTTGATGAATTTCTTACTGATAAAGTTGAAATAGGATTACCCTCCTCCTCATCTTCAACAATTTGATGGTCGTGGTATGCTAACTACCTACTCTGTGCGGCACGCCACCTGACAGATATTCGTTCTGCAGGGCATCACGAAGATCCCTTGGTTTAGTTACAGGTGGGTACCGTCACCCCCCGATGAAAATCCTCCCTTTACGATCATCCTGACCTATTGTGACCTAGCCCGTTTCATGCTGCGATGGGAATCCTGACAACGAGACTGCTGCTGAACTTGCGTAAAGCTGTGGTCCGAACACCAAGCGTGGAACATAATACCACGGGCCTCGGTACTTCTCAGGAACGAATTGCGCGGAATCGTAAAATTCATACGCAGGAGAGCTTTGCAGGATCCTGGCACGCCGCCACGGTCTCAAGCGCTACTTTGGGAGCTTCGACCTACGCTTCGACAAAAGTTTGAAGTTTGTATACGAGTACAAGCGATCTTATCTTATCTTTATCAAATTGTAGAGTGTAAATTCAGATGGGCGTTCCTTCTCCAATCACACAACATTGATTGCAACTGTCCAAGCTACGTGTCTGCGAAGCGGAACTTCCTCTCTCAGCTGACGAGCATAGCAATTAATTCGTTAAGTACTCGAGTATATGCGCAAGTAGATCATGGGCATCCTTGGATCTCTGCCTGCGCCGAAAGATTCAGGCGTCTTCTGGTTCAAAGCCGCGCTCGATAGTCTTCCGAGGGTCATACGTAGGTGGGTCCAGTTTCGACAATTCGCGAGCTGTTAAAAGCTATAATTTTAACGTCATGTACACCAAATTCGGATGTACGGTGGGAAGCTCTTGCCACGCTGCCAAACCTCAGGCGTCTCTCCATCGCAGCGGATATGGTGGACGGTTGGACAGTGCCTTCGAAACAGTCGCCACTTGAGCTTATGGAAGCTATCAATGATAGTGAAAGAGTCATGGAAAGAGCGACTGGTACATGAATGTCCATGCGTCGTGTGTAGAGTTCCGGTATTGGATGTGCCAGCTGTCCATGTAGCGGAAAACACTTCATGATCGGGAAAAGGGTTCATATGAATAAGGATCGTGGAACATAAACTCGTCTCCAGCAAGCGTTTATGAGGCTGCGCGAAGAACGGAGTTGTGAGGGAATCCAGAAGGTGTACCACTGCCAAGGATAACGTAGTGGTTCTGAACTATGCCAGCCACTTTGAGATCTCTAAACGTTCTGGAAGGTGAAGCTTGGTGCCCAGTTGGTGACAGATGCTGCCGTTGGCAGACGCACGCGGTACAGATATAGGGCGGGACGCATTATGGCCACGTAAAGACGACTTGGCCTCCTGTAGCTACTCTCAACGATTAGTCATTATGGGCGCACCAAGTGGTGTTCTTCATTGCTTCCACACTTGCCGAAGAGAAACCATCCACAAAACGCAAGATGTCCATTTTCCAGAGGGTTATGAGCCTATTAATTTTACAACTGCGGATTCCACATCTTTTGCGGACAAGTGGTCCAGTTCAGCGTGCTTCTCCACCCCGCGCTCTGCGTTTCGTGCACATCCGGTCAGCCACGAACAAGAGGCCATGTCCGGACTACGCACCGAATCGAGCAAATACCCGTGCTGGAGTCCCACTTGCTTCTCGAATCATAACCGGAAGATCTGGGTTGTGTTGTTTAATCGTAGCATACCGCGAAAGAATGAACTCCCTATAAGGTGGTCAGAAGTGCAAATACCTAAATTCTAACGCTACTCACCGAGTGCCCGCTGAAGCCGGACCAGTTTGGGAGCATAGAATCCTAATCTCCCTGATAGCTGGCGAGAAGGCCTTCGAGAAAGACATGTATGAAAAGCCTGAGGTGGGTGACAGTGGGTCCAAGTCGCGGTCAGCAGAGGAGGAAGACGCACGAGGCTGACGTAAGCTATTGGTAGCGAGTTACCACGCCGTTGATCAACATCCTGTTGACAACGACCAGAACAACACCCAGCGCCGCTCCTAGTTCATGGACGACGACGAGAAACGCCAGCAGGATGACTGGGCAAACAGCCGCAAGAACAGGCTGCCCTCGTTCACTGAGGTGCTCTCAAGGCGGACACGGCCGCCTGTAGACCTCTTCATGTTCTAGTGCGTCTTCATTTTTCTGGGGAGCCCTTGAAACATTACTCATAGACCGTCATTATGGCAGCCTTTTCTTGCAACGCGAAGGAGCGGAGGATATTCTTGATTTTTGGCTGGATGTCCAGCAGCATGAGAACCTATGCCGTGCATACTTCAAGGACGTGCGCAAATCGGGCCGTACGATCAAGGAAGACTGGCCGCAGTACTGGGACTATGCTCGTAGACGAGGTTCTATTTACGGCACAGTTGTTGGACTCCATCCTGACGGAGGTGGGACGAAGAGAAGCACGGCGAGCACGGGGGAGTTAATGACAGAACAAGATAGGCGTAATCTCGCGGCGGCGGGGCCTTCGCACGACGAAAAGGGTGGCTATGGCGGACGTTCGACGAGTCCTCGACCAGGAACAGCAGCCCTTTCCGAGCACACGCGTGTTGCCTCACCGAATGACGAGGGTAAGGAACAACCGCGGTCGACGACACCCTTCTCGCTCTCCGGCCGCACGCCAACTCTGTTCAACATGCGACGCGCCTCTCGCGCTCCGACTATCATCCCCCGTTCCGCAGCTATCACGCGTCTGGACCTCATCGCTTCTGCTGAGCGCATCTTCTACCGGTACCTCTCCCCCGCAGGCACCGTAAATTCGCCGGAGAACCACGAGATCTACCTCCCGCCGTCGCTCCGTATCCATAGCTTCCCTCTGAGCAGCTCACAGGAGCCCAGATCGCAGGCGGAGCTGAGCATGATGGCCCAGATACCCGACATCTTCCACGCGCAGAAGGAATACTGCTTCCGCGCGATGGAGCAAGATGCCTTCCCACGCTTCCTCCGCTCAAAGGCGTTTGGCAACCTCACGCCTATATCGGCGCTGGTGCGTCTCATTGCGGGGCTCATCATGCTCTGGATAGGGCTGGCAGCGGGCTTCTCGCTTATCTTCCTAGATGTACATCCCAAGTCCAAGCGGTTCTTCGTAAGTTTCTCACTGTACATGCATGAACTGTAAATAACGTCTCGTGTAGCTCTTCATCCCATTCACCTTCGCCATTCTCTTCCTTGTGTCGCATCAATACGAACTTGACCCCATCCTCGTCTTCCTCGGCCAGTCAGAAACAACACCCTTCCGCAC